TGCCACAGGGGCTGCATCCTATGCCGTCACTGGCGACTCATGGCAGCCCAGCCCCAGGTTGAACTGTTGTTCAGCATCTTAGCTGTGGAGGGCAGTGTCACTGGCCTTCATATGTGAGATCTGAACCGGGGCTCTCTGGCATCCCAAGCCAGTTCTTAACCATCACGCCACTCGGCTGGCCCTGGAGTTGTTTTTGAGTGATGGATTGCACATGATTTTAATTTCCCCTTACCACATTGTTGCATTCCCTTTTAAAATGTTCTATAATGACTATGCATTAAATATATAATAAAAAAATAATTTTAGAAAGAAATAATAGAAAGAGCAACTGCCTCGACCTCCTAGAAAAATGGTTAATTACCTAATCTGCCATTATTCTAAAATTAGAATTCTACAGTGATTTTAAAAATAAAATATTTACTTAGATTTCCCTCCACCTACACTACCCTCAACCACCACGTTACCATGTGCAGTTATCACTGTGAGTTATTAGCAAGCTGCTCATTAAAGTGGTTCCATCAACATGAGTGCCAGACAGGAGACCACCTTAGAGACACTGAGTAGTTCATTAAAAACTAATACTGGCCTCTGTATCTTCAGTGTAACTGACATCACACAACTGCCAAAATCCAGAAACCGAAGGATCTGGCAGCTAAAAGTCTCCACATACATATTATGAGAGAGATTTGGAGAAAAACTGTTTCAAAGGCTATTGCTGTAGGCAAGAACTTTTATTAAGAGATTTTGAAAATATTCATAGCTTTGGAGTCAGGATTTCCACTTCTGGGAATCCATCCTAAAGAAATAAATAAAAAATGTGCACCAAACCTATGTCTAAGAATGTCAATGCAATGGTTGTTTTTGGTTTTTTTTAACTGGTTTTTTGTTGTTTTTACAAAAGAAATACAGCTGTTGTAAGAGGCAAAAACATCCAGAGATTAACTTTTTTTAAGTTAAACAAAAATTTTCCCCTGCACACATACTCTCATATACCTTCCACTTTGATTTTTGCGAAGTAGTCAAAGTTAAAAGGTTAGAGATCCTTCCATGTCGATCATATAATCATATACAAATGCATATAATTTTTAAATTTAAAACACTAAGATTTTAAATTACATTACAACTTGCTTTTTTTTCACTCAACAATATTCTGATGGATGTCTTTCCAGATCAATACATTCTGACAGCTAATACCACTCAGCTATCAACTATATTTGTTAAACATTTGAGCCTTTTCCAGTTTTTTGCCATGGCAAAGAATGAATAAAGTTAACTTGGACAGGCTTTATTTTATTTCTGTAAAACAGGAAAAAATTAGATTGCTAGATCAATGGCTATATGTATGGAAGGAAATTTTAAAATATGTTAATATACTTTTCTATTTTGCATTTCCATATCCATTTGAATAACCTAGCCTCTTTTGCCAGAGGCATCCATTTACCTCCTACAGAATTAAGAATGTGACAGAAAAAAATGAAAAGAGAAAGATGGTGTCAGTATTCAGCTTCCTAAAGCAAAAGTTGGATTTTTGGAGACCATGGGAATATGATTGTTACAGAAATAATGAAAAGAGAAAGATGGACTCAATGTGCACAGCAAGAGCAGGATATTAGGAGACCACAGTTAGACAGTGGTGCCAGGAGGCTGCCTGGGAGCCTGTGGAGGGGTGGGGTGGTGCTTCAGCTGTGTGAGGTCCCAGGCACCCCTGCAGGCCCCTGTGGCAGCCCTGGCAGCCTCAGGCCGAATGAGCAGCCAGCCAGTCCAGGGCTCTAGGCCCCGCACTAAACCCAGTCATTTAATCCCACCCCGGCTGGGTGGTTTGGGGCAGCGATAACCTCCTGTCCATGCACTCCTCTGTAGTCCCAGTCCAGTGACCTGAACAAGTAACTCATTTCTCCTGCCCTTTGTTTTCTCTCCTGTAAAATGGGTGCCCTGATACTCAGTGAGGTCCGTTATGGAGAGGGCTCAGCTCTGCTGGCAAAATAGGAGCAATCATTGGCTTTAAAAAGCCAAGAAGTGGGGAAAGAAAGGGCCCCTGCTTCCCAGCGCCCTCAGCAAGCGTTAGGAAGCAAAATGTCTGCGTGTTCCCAGCTCCCAGCCCAGGTCCAGTCAGCCCTCAAATACCTCTGTGTGAACGAATGTCCACTTAGGGACAGGGCCCCAGGACAGCTCAGTTCTCCAGGCTAGACACTCTAAGGGCCCTTGAGTGTCGCATATACACATAGACACCTTATGACGTATGATTTACATCTTTTACAAGTGACCCTATCTTGACGATGTCTCCTACTCCTAAGCTGTTCCATTTATTTCTTCTTGTACCTCCTGTGCATTTTGTTCTAGGAACAGGAACACCACTTCATTTTATTTGGTGCACAGATTTGCTAACTGCTCTCTCTGCCGTGAACTGACTTCTTTACTGTGAAGGACGCTTTTTTGTCTCACTCAAGGCTTTCTTGTGCCTGAATTCCTCCTCATCTGATGTTAAGATCACACTCCTTTCTGTTTGTCTTATCCTAGTGTTCATTAGCTATCTTTTCATTTACAACCTCTCCTGACAAAGGTGTTCTAGGTCTATCTCTTCATGTCATCATCATTTATGCTTCATGATCCAACAGGAAATTTTCATTTTAAATTGTGATTTTAGCCCATTTGTATGTGCTGATAAGGCCAATACACTGGGTCTACACTCTGTCGTATTTTAGGTTTTCTGTATTTATCTTTCTCTTTTTCCCAGTCATTCACTACGTGGTCTACTGTCTTGGTTGTCTGTGCATCTCTGGCTGTGGGTGTGTCTCAGTTTCTTTATGAAACCCCTTCGCTTCTTCTCACGAGGCTGGGTAAGGTACCATGACAAAGTGGGCATTTTCCTTGTTCTCGCCAACTTTTCTCTCTCACACTACTTTATTGTAGCAGTTTATTATATTTTAGTGTTTTTCTTTTTACTGTTAAACACCTTATGCTTCTATTACTTGATTTTTCACTTTTAAGAAAATATTATTTGCCTGCTAGCTGTTCAACAGGAAGCAATCGGAATACTTACTCTACCTTTCCCTTCCCCTCGTCCTCCTCCAATTTTTGTTAGATATAGTTTGCCTTTTCAAATGCTCTATCTTGAAAATCTTTCCAGTGTCTTTCAGAGAGATATGCTGTTCGAGTTTTTCTACTGCTTTGGGATTTCATGTTGATAAATTACATTTTGCTAGTATGCCATCCATTTCTTTCAGTTTTTCTAATTTCCTATTGTCAAAGTGTATGTTATTTTAATAGGTACTATACTTTCTAGTTGTAAAGGGCTTAGTGCATCAGATAATTGATTCCTCTTCAGTGGGGTGAATTTTTTTCTTTTTGGACTGAGGTGGTATCAGTAGAGATCCTAGAAAATCCCCAACCCTCTGCTTAGTTAGGCTTCAGGAAGAAGCCCATCAACACCAAGTGTGTTTGTTCACAATGAGACCAGTTGAGTCTTCCAACTACAGAGACAAGGAGCCACTTAGCCAACAGCACTGCCCCTCTGAGGGCCACCATGTGCCACAGCAGAGCCACTCTGTGGGTCCACACAGCAAATACGTACATGGAGATACCACCTAAAATTATCCTCTGGGATTGACCAGCTCTGTCTCTCACTGTCACCATTGTGAATAGGGACCTACACTGACTATCTCTCCTGGAGATCTCTGGGGACTCACAGAATCAGAAGCATCCTCCACCATCTACGTGCTCCAGGGAGGGAGTCCTGAGAGGTGGCATCAGGGACGGACACGCAGGCCACTGTCTTTTCACAGTTATTTCTGGTCTTGCCCAAACTTACCTTTATCTGTAACAGGGGCATAAAGTTTTACACCTCTGAGCTCAAAGCTAACCAGTAATTAAATGCCATTCTTATCATTATGCCCAATTTCACAACCTTCATTAAATTAAAGACAGAAATATACAACTATCATAAGAAAATAATACAATAGATGTTTGGCATTTGTCAGTTGAATATGTGATTTTCACCTGTTCCTGAGACACTGCACTGTCAGGACATTTTTTATTTTGCTGGGGCAGGTGACTAGGAGCCCACTGCATGGTGGGGCAGGTGACTGGGAGCCCACTGCATGGTGGGGCAGGTGACTGGGAGCCCACTGCATGGTGGGCAGGGGACTGGGAGCCCACTGCATGGTGGCGCGGGTGACTGGGAGCCCACTGAATGGTGGTGCGGGTGACTGGGAGCCGACTGCATGGTGGGCAGGGGACTGGGAGCCCACTGCATGGTGGGGCGGGTGACTGGGAACCACTCATGAGGTACTCAGTGGGCCTCGCTGTGGGGAAACACTGGCATTCCAACTGGGCTTTATGTGCATTTACTGTTTTCTATTCTACTCATTGTCTGGTTCACAGGGATTCTCATTAAAGACCTTAAGGGTTCTCTTAGAAGTTCTGTTCTTACAAATGATTCAACAGACATAAGAGGGACGGTCTTTATGTAAGAGTGGAAGTGCTAATGTGCCTGGTGTGCTTCCCCATCATACTGTCACACTGTGTGCTCGCCCTGCACTGCCAAAGCCTAAGGGAGCAGAAAGGGGCAACCACTGACACCTGTCCAGGTGTACCACGTGGACAGGTGTCAGTGGTTTAGGAAATGGGTTTTACTGGATAGAAATGGATAGCAGAGAAACTGGGAATTTAGAAATAGATGCAAAACTTGCTCACATCAATTTGTTTTACCGTGTTTCCCCAAAAATAAGACCGGGTCTTACATTAAGTTTTGCTCCAACAATCCACATTTACTCATTTATTCATGTACAAAACTCTTCATTTCTTCAGTCATGTCTGGCTGACAATCTTAACTGGGGCTTATGTTTGGGGTAGGGCTTATATTACGAGCATCCTGAAAAATCATGTTAGGGCTTATTTTCCAGTTAGGTCTTATTTTCAGGAAAACACGGTACATTTCTAACATCCAAAGAAATGTGGTGTATATACTTACAGAAAATTCAACATTATATTTTCTATCTTACCTTGGAAGATCGGAAGGTAAATGCTGTTGATTTTACATCAGCTTTTTCCTTGTCCATGAGAAGAAGGTTTTTGTCTTCCATGAGACTCAAGTATTTTCCTGTTGTGACGTGGCGTAGTCGGAAAGGCTGGCCCCATCTTATGTGGCTTCCGCTCCAACTAACAAAAGAAGTTAAGACTTGATCCAATAGCAGCCACAATAACAGGAGAAACGGCAATTAAAATGTATGTGTCAGACAATGAACAAAGAGTCTCTGAATATATTGTTTTACTTAATGGTCTCAAAAACCTTATGATGTTGGTGGTATTAATTTCATGTCACAGATAACAAAATGGTTATTCAGAAAGATTAGGTACTATGCAATGCTACACAGACAATAGTAAGTAGAAGTGAAATTGACCTCTGTGTCTTCTGACTTTTAATGTGATACTATCCATACTACACACTACTCCTTAAAAAGATGATTAAGAAGTTGTGTTCCAGTTAACCTCTACTCACTAGTCACTGATAGAGAAGTTGTAAGTTTAAATGATACTTTAGAATGTACTGGTTAAAAACTTTGGTTGGATTTGCACAGACTTGAAAATAGTGGTACAGTCAACTAATTATATATTTACTTGAAAAAAATAAATCTATCCCTATGCTTTAAATGTAATATTGTAGAACAATTAGATCATTAAAAACCAATGAACAAAAAAGATAACCAAGAAAATAAGAATTATAAAAAGATCAAAAGGGAAAAATAAAATGTAATAGAAAAATACACTAAGGTTGCAGAAAAAAGATAAAATGCAAAGTTATGATAATTAGAATCTGCTTTTGAAAATAATGACTTACAGATTGGGTGAAGAAAAATCAAGTCACACACCACCCTCGCTTTATGCAGCCATGTGAACCAACAGTCATGCACATCTGAGTCTTGTACTCGCCATAGCGAAGTGAAAACAATGTTCTGACAGGCATGACTTTCAGTTAACGTGGAACTTTGTAAGACAGTTTCTTATCATTGATAAGAACCATGCTTAAAATCAAATAATTCAAAAAAAGCTAAAAATAAATAAGTGGAAAAGATTTACCATGCAAAAAATCACAAGGAAACAGTGATGGCAAATTGGTGTTAGAAAAATTAGAATTCAAGGCAAAAGCATGAAGGGGATACCATCAGGTACTTTATAAAGGATAGACTCTAAAAAAAAAAGGGTATGAAATTATCTCTATGTAATGAATCAAATAGATAAAAAGTAAATATATAGAGGGTTTCAATATGATTTTATTAATGAATACATTTGTTTTAATGTAGTCATTAAGAATTTTTGTAGTCTAAACATTGAAAGTATTTTTTTGCAAATTTTGCAATTTTAGCAAACTATAAGTTATTTTTATGCTGTATTCCTAACCTGACTTTTTTATTTGAGATCTCAGCATTGAAAATTAGCAGTATAGCGATATTGTAATAAGTCCATTTTTACATGAGTTTGTTTATAGAGACAATTACTTTGGACAAGTACCCCAACTAAATTAATAACCATGTACCAACATACCTTGATAATAACACCATATTATCTTAAAAATGAAATTAAAGTTTGTTTTACCAACAACAGCATGTGAAAGCATTTCTAGGCTGGTAATAAACAAGTGTTATTCCTTTCTCATAAAATTAAGTGTATTTTTGCAAATGCGATGAAAAACACAATTATTTTTAATAGTAGTTTTCATGTTTTGAAAAAGCATTTGAATATGTTTTCCAAATAATGACTCATCTTAACCATCACAGAAAACAACCTCATTTTCCAAATAGTCCAAAATTTTGACCAAATACATGCTTTTCACCAGAATTTCTAGAGGACATGTTGGATACCATACTTAAAGCTATTTACTGGGGCTTATTTATAGAAGCACTCCTCTCAGTTCACTAAGGGGATTCTGTTATAATGGAATGAATTTTGGTAGTTATTGGCAAAACATCGTGAAGTTTAAGCATACACAATTCATACATATTTTTTTATTAGCTGAGGCGTACTGCCACCTGTTGGTAGCTCAACAGCAGCTCAGCTTGAACTGGGAATTGAACCAGTGACCCTGTTGCTCAGAGCTCACACTCTTGAGTGAGCTCTTAACCAACTGAGCCACTCAGCCAGCCCTATCATGTTTTTAATTGCAACAATCATTCCCACTACAGAAGCTAACATATATCCTACTTACAAAGTTCTTACAACTTTGCATTAGAGTAAAATACTGGAACATGTTTCATATTACATTTAACTCCTAAAATTAAAACTTACTTTATTAAAATGTTCATGATACTGAAAAACTTTTGACAACATTAAATTTATTTGTATAAGTATGCAATATAAAACATACAACAACTAAGTTACATAAATTATAACAAATATATAGTTGGAGACCTTGTTGGAGAAAAAGAAAACATAGACTCTCCCAAATAGTATAAACATTGATCTCTGGAAATAAAGTTCTGTTATCAACATAAGCAGGATTTTTTACCATCATTTCCTAAGTATAAAGAAAAGTGAGTAATTACGTGGCCACTGCATATAATACAAAATGTAAATTAAATGCAATCTAATCTGTACATTTACAATAAAGCCAAAATAGCTCAAAGATTCAACAGACTCTGAAAAAGAATCTTTCAAATAATGACATTTGTTACCTAAGCGCCTCCTGCTTTCCGCCTGGAGACAGGAAGGTGAAAAGGCTCACAAAGTAGAATAAAAACATCTCTTTAATCTTTTAAATGGGTGACAAACTACCTGCCCTGCCCTCTGTTGCCATGTCCCCTGCCATTTCTGGGAGGAAGTCAGCACAGGTACAAACATTGCTGAATGCCCCCATCAGCTCGGGCTGGATGCAAGAACAGGCCCTTTCTATAGAGCTGCCATCTAATTCAAAGTTAAAGCCAGCACCACACTTTCTATTTCAAATTTCCAACATCAGGCAACAGAGAGGAAACAGAAAAATGGGCAGAACCATCGGATTTATGTAATTACAGGTCATCAACACTATCGTTGACAATAAAAATAAAGACCTATTATGATCTCTCACCCTCCCTTTTTTATTTTTAATCTACAAATTGAGACGATTTAGGGCCTCATTTGCTAAGAAAAGAAAAATCTATTTCTTTAAGCACACAATCATGAAGGGCAGGTGTATCTACAAATTTGAAAACATCTGGAATCTGGTTCTAAGGCAACAAAACCTCTAAACTTCACTTTAGTTGACTTTCATTTCTCTAATAAGCTGTCATTTTTATAATATATGAGGTAAAGGAATAAATATATATATATATATATATATATATATATATATATATATATATATATATACACACACACATATATATATACACACACACATATACTATATTTATAACACCTTTCCCTAAATTATCTTAATAATTTATGAAGCACATAAAAACTATGAGTTTTCTTTCTTTGGCTTTATAATTCCACCTCTTCTTTTTTCCATCTCATTAAGAGATATATTTCCAATAAAATTTTACCTTCAAGTTCAATATTTATCAAAAGTTTTAATATTTAGGTGGATTTGATCAACTATGTATTTATATAGAAGAAACATGATATTATCAATTAATAATTAAAGAAAATAATACAGAAGAACTTTTTAAAGTTACAGACATACTATGATAGGAAGTTTGAAAAATAAATTTAATTTACATACATATTTTTGTTACATAGAAGTATGATAGAGTGTGAGCAGGTAAAGTTTTTCAATCATAAGAAGTATGATTGGAATAAAATTCAGTCATGGGAGGGTAACAAAAATATGATTTAACTCAGAAAGACAAATAATATATCATTTTTACTATTAAAAAAGACCACATTTGGGCCAGCCCAGTGGCTCAGTTGGTTAAGAGCTCGCTCAAGAGTGCGAGCTCTGAGCAACTAGTGTTTCAATTCCCAGCCCGAGCTGAGCTGCCAACAGGTGGCAGAATGGCTCAAAAAAAAAAAAAAAACACATCCAAGTATTTTTAAGTAAAAATGGGTATTAAATCATAGCAGTACTTAGAGTCAATGGTATACTTTTAAAATGTCACTATTATAATACACTGTAGTTTATAGTCTGTGCATCTATTTAAAGTAATGTAAAAGTTCTATGTCAAACTTTACCATGTTCAAGGATATTCAAAGTTTTTCAAAATTATTGTATGGTCTATGTAAGCAAAAATAACTAAAGGCCACTTAACTACTTTAATCATCATTAGATAAGCATTAATCTCAAAATACTAGGTCTAAAAAGATAGCTATTCGATACTAAGATAGTTCCTTACACTCAGCCACGGAGTCTATAATCCTTAATCAATAATTTCTTTAAAGTGTAATATAATAGAGAACAAATACATTGAAAACTTACTGCTTTTTAGGCAAAAGACTTATAATCATTTTTTACAATCTATTTTAATTCTATTAAAAATAGCTAAAAATGACATTTTTATTGTAATGACTTCGCATTACAATCCAGATTTCTTACTCGGTTATCAAGTTATTTGGAAGTAAAGATTGCGACTGCCATTAATCATCTTGTATCACCGTTCATGTTCACGTTTCTTCTGTTTTACATGTGCGTTTAGACGGTTAAATCCAGAGTCTGCATGACCTGAAACATGCGGCAAGCTTGCAAACGGTCTGCCCTGCCTCCGAACCTTACATCACGCTGTCCTAGCAGCACTTTCTGCCAGGAGATGCACAGACTGAGGTGAGATGATGTTACAAAATCATCATAAAATGAGGCAAAAGACAAAAGCAGGTCGTATACAATGTTTGCGTACCACCTGGTGAATTTCGGCCCATAATGAAAGATAAACAACGGTAGGAGGAAAGCGAAAGAGGAGAGAGAAACCCATCACCACTCTCTGTGTTTCATTGGCTTGTCTGGCGTTGCTAGCATGACCATTTCACAGAAAGCACAAGTCAAGAGCACTCGAAAGATTTTACACACTTAGGCTGCGTCTGGACGCTCTACTTACGCAACTCTTAGCGTCTCTAGTCTCCACAGAGAACGTGCGTGAACAGCTACAGCACCACCTTCGTAATGAACAGTTCTGTCAGAAAAAAGAAAAAGCCCAATTTTAACATGTTTCATTCTTGGACTCTACTTTTCAAGCTAATTAAAAGGAAAAAGCAAATGGAAAGCCTTGGATAAACAGTTTAAAAAGTCATACTTTTTGGAGGAAACAATATAGCTGAAAATTAAAACAATAAAAAAACCAATAACAGTGATCAATATAAGTTTGTCCCGAGTAAACATTTGATTTAAACATATTCTCTTATCATTTTCCTCTAATCCCATTCAATCCCTCTCCCTCCCCACTACCATATCTGTCCCCCTCTCCCCGCCCTACCCTGAATACAATCACAGCACTCATTTAATTAACTTGAATCCATAAAAGTACTCAGCTATGAGTTTAGGTATAGTTTAATATTACTATTATTTCAACACATACATATAATTATTTGCAGTTCTAAATTCTGTTCTGGGTATTTAAAACATTTTAAATATAAGAATACATTAGTTTTAATGTTTTCGTATAACAGTCTGAAAAAAATGATAAAAGATAGAAAAGTATAAATTTCACCAACAATGTAAATATCAACAAGAAGTCCCTACACACAAAGAGAAATTTATTTGAATGTACATCATACCCACCCAAAATTCCTAAGCTCTCATAATAACAACTTGTTAATATGCCAGATGTGATGCTACGTAATTTACATAATTATCCAGCCTGATCTCTATGCCAACCATTGAGACAGTTTCAAGGAAACCAAAGCGTAGGCACCACCCTGTTTCTTTCTCAAGTTCCTTGCCTCTCCCACTCTACTGGATCTTTCATCTTCACACACATAACCCTGTCCAGTCTCAAACACAGTGTCTGGCCATATTTTCCTCTCCTGCTCCCCTTTTCTCTCCCTCATTATCACCTCCTCTCAGCACACTCCAATCTCACTTCCAGACACTTCTCCCTTGAAACAAATTTTGCCAAGGCCATTAAGAGACCTTCACGGTCCCAAATCCAATGGACTTTTAACACTGTGAAACCCCTACTGTCTTGACAATTTTTCTAACGCCATTCTCACCTGCTTTCTTTTCACCTACTTAGATATGCCTTCTAATTCTTTTTATTGTGGAACTCTCCATTATATACACAAAAAGTAGAAAGAGTGTTATAATAACCCCCCATATACCCAGCACACAGTTAACAATGACCAGCATAGGACCAATCCTCTTTCACTTATCCCTTCAGTGTGTGAATTTTCCCAATTATCTCAAAAATGTCTTTTCAAATCAAGATCCAAACAAAATGCACAAATTGGTAAGGTGTCTTAAATTTCTTCTATTCTGAAACAATTCTCCCTCCCTCTTTTTTTTCTTTTTTTCCTTTTTTACCATTTATTTGTTGAAAAAAAAATCTGCATCATTTTCCTGGCATACTTTCTACATCCTGGATTTTACTGTCAACCTCCTTCCTCACAGTGTTTTTAACATTGACCTCTAAAATTCATAGATCTAGAAATCTAGAAGCTTCTTCAGGTTGAAGTCTGATTTTTTGGGCATGTTCAGAAATTGGTGTTTTGTACTTTCTGTTCTCCACATCAGGAGGTAAAATAACTACTTTTCTGTCTTTTGATGTTAAAATTGATCAGTAGTTTCAGGACCACCCTGATCCACCCACTATAATCTAAGGGTTTTCGGTACATCAATGACCAGCGTCCACAGCAGTGATTTTCAACCGTGACTGTGAATATTATCACAACTTTAAAAAACCCTGATGCTATGTCCTCACCAATGGCCCATTACATCAAATCTAGAGTTCAGATTTTTTTTTTAATTAAAGTTTATTGGGGTGACAATGGTTAGCAAAGTTACATAGGTTTCATGTATACAATTCTGTAATACATCAACTCTATATCACATTGTGTGTTCACCACCCAGAGTCAGTTCTCCTTCCATCACTGTATATTTGATCCCCTTTACCCTCATCTACCATCCCCTCCCCCCTTACTCTCTGATAACCACTCAACTATTGTCTGTGTCTATGAGTTGTTTTTATTTCTTTGTCTTGTTTCTTTGTTGCTTTCAGTTTTATACCCCACATATCAGTGATTTTTTTAACCACTCTCCAGCTGGTTGTAACGGGGAGCCCAGGTTTGAAACCATGGTCAGGATCAGTGTCTAAACAGCAGCACTGTTGTTATGCTTTGCTGCAGGTGGGCGTCCTGTGCACTGGAGGACAGTGCCCACCGCTGGCCCCCACCATCTAAATGTCAGCAGAAGAGGCCCCCTTCCCGCACCTTAGGTGTGACAACAAAAAATGTTTCTGGGCATTGCCAAGTGTCCCCCAGTGTCAAGCCACTGATACAGAGCAGTGGTTCTCAGTGTTTAGTATTAGAATCATCTTGTGAGCTTGTTAAAATGCAGATTGCTGAGCCCCACCCCCCAGAGTTTCCAATTTAGTAAACCTGGGGTGAGGCCCAAGAATTTGTATTTCTAACAAGTTCCCAGGTGAGGTTTGCACAGCAGGTCCACATTCTGAGAAACATGGGGCTAGAACCATTATTTCATTAGGACAGTGATTCTTAGCGTTGGTTATATGTTAGAATTACCTGGAAAGTTTTTAAAAACTCCAATGCACAGACAATTCTCAGACCAATTAATTCAGAACCTTCTGTATATAAACTCGAAAAATAATGAATGACAAAATATAGATGCAATGTTTGTTCAAGTGTGTGTATACATATTAAGATAGAAACACACAAATAGCTATTTTTAATCAATCAGACCTTTAACAAAGATCTTATACTTGGCCACAAGGGAAATTATATTAGATTTTATTTTAAGTAAACCTATTTACTCATCACATTTTATGATCATAACCAACCAGTAAAATTTGGAAATAAATACCAAAAAGATAAAACGAATAACAACTTGGAAAATTAAGAAACTCCCCTAAGTGATTCATGGATCAAAAAGGAAATAAAAATTATACCCTATCTAGAGGATAACACTTCATAACAATCTGTGATTCATAGGCAAACTTTAAAAATTTTTAGCCTGCAATCTCCTAATTTTTAAAGAAGAGTTATTAAAAACAAAGGAACTAGAGTTGTCTAAGAGATTAAATAGAGAACAAAATAAACCAAGAAAAAATAAAAAGAGAAAGAGGTTCTATGACATGTTGTTAAGTAAGATAAAGAAGATGCAGTCATGTAAATGATATACATTTCTGTACAACCATGAATCATTATAAATCTATCCCATATATGTGTGTATGTACATATGCAGATATAATATCTGTATGAGCATGGGGAAAGTTATTGAATAATGAACACCAGGCTATGAATATTAATTACATAAGGAAAGATATATAGGTATTAAGCTTGAAGATTAAATAAAATGGACACTTAGATACAAATAGCATAAATAATATGTTGATGTGAAATTGTATATATTACACATAATAAAGTATATGGAGAATTACTCAACTGTTTTACTCTCTTCATAGCTTTTCCTTTATTGATTGAATTTGACAATGTTCTTGAATTATTTATATTAAAAATCTAATGATATTTTTAATTTGGGGGTAAATATTTAAAAACATAAATACGAAGTCAAAAAGAAAGTCAGATCCTCCTTCCTACCTGAAGTATTTTTAGCTTTATCTGGTTGACTTTCTTGAATATTTGTCTCCTGAAAGGATGTCTGCCTTGAATCATTTCTCTTTATTGTTTTTCAAAAGCTTCACTGGCAGGTGCAGAGAATCTGATGATTGCTTACAATTCCCTGTTGCTGATTGGGGAATCTTTGCTGTTATACAGAATTACCCATAGAAATGTATGGCACATGCAGAATGTCAATAGCTGTCTAACCAAGACTTCACAGGCTATTTAAGACTGAAAATTGGCATCACAATATCAGGATCCTAAATATAATAAGAATCTTAGCCCATCATAAATGATATGAAGGGCATTCCAACTTATTTAGAAATCAGTCCACCTGGAGAAATACACCTGGCCTACGAAGGAATCATCCCTTTCCATGGCAACGTATCTCAAGTATCAAATCCAAGTCCAGGAAAACAACTGTTTTAAAGACCAGCTAGTTTACCAAATGGTTTCAGAGACCAAATTTAAACTTACACAACTAAACGATCATTTTTATAGCAAGTGCTCTTACCAACAGGAAGACTGAGAAGGGAGAAAGAGTCTCTAAGAAATGAAAAAGACACATAGCAATAGCACCCTTGAGCTCATCACCACGGGAGACTTCAATGCACATGGCAGCAAAAGACGCAAAAATTCAAGGGGAGGCCAATGGATGTGAAAACACAAAAGCCCCTATGCAGCTCTGCGTTTACTGAAGGTTGTTTGCCAATGAGCCAGATAATGAGAAAAAGAAAATGTGTTAAAATAACTAGAAATTAATATTATTTGTAATAAAAAAATTTTAAAGGATCTTCCACCTCATAAATCAGAAAAAAGTCAGTCACTATAATTTCACCAAATAGAAATATTTAAAACGTGTACACCTACCAACCAACAGTATGTTCCTTGTTCAACAGTCCTTTGAAAATCCCAGGCTTCAGGCTGGAAATTCTGTCTACATAACACATTATCCCCCATAAAATACACTTCATTAAGGAATTTATATTTCATGCCGATCACATAAAACTGCCTGAAGAGTCCCTTTAAGGTTATGCTTTTAATAAGGACAAATTCTTCCTACTATGTCATCAATTCCACTTCTCATAGGTATTATAATATTGCCCATTGAAACAAAAGTAGTTAGCTATATTTGCATTTTCAGCTATAAAATACAATTGAAGTCTCCTCTCAATTGTCAAACCATTTATTTCTCAGTAGAAAAAAACGCCCCTTGGCAGCCAAGAGAGCTAGCTCATCTTTACAATCTGAGGCCCAGTAAAAGTAGCATTAGCATTCTAACAAAGGCACAAGTCCTTACATGTTCTAGGTGGCCTGACAGTGTGGGAGATATCGGCACACATTTATAACACAATTTCACAGGATACACAATTCCAACCAG